TATTTACACGCTTAAGAAACAGATACTCAAGTGCAATAACATACCCTCTTCTTAAGTGGTTCTGAATGCTTCGATAAGCATCATTGAACATCTCCAAGTCTTCCCTTTCTCCAAAGAGGATGTAAGACTTCAGAAGGTATTCATAGAACGAATCTGACCCTGCGCCCAAGCCACTCTGCTTTCCAACCCAATGGCCAGTTTGAATATTCACAACATTTCCTTTCAGAGAAGGTAAAGACAAGATTTTAACCAAATGTTTCCAAGTATATCAGAAAGAATAAAACAAGAACTAGAACTTAAAAATATTATCTATTCAAGAAGTCTTAAGGGGGGAAGAACAAAGACTACTATAAAATAAGGTGTTACAGAGCACTTATGGAATTGATCCACATACTTGCTTTAAGCAAATTTATTCATAAGCTATATTAATAAGGATATACGTGCAACAACTCCAAACTCATGTCCCAAAATCAAGAGAAATTTGTCTTTGAAATGTGCCATTTCACATTAACCGTTTCAAATTTTAAAACGGCCATTTCAATTTTAAAAAGTAATTAAGACCTCATACCCCTTTCAAAATGCCATGGTCAACAGAAGGCACAATATTAGATACAAGATAGCACTACTTAATAGTCGGAAAGTTTTTTCTGCTGAACGATAGCATTCCACTATATGGGACCAAGATAACTTAAAACATTGAGAGAGAACTTAAAACACTGAGCTAGTCAATACAACATCACCTGAGCTCAAAGACCTTGCTGGAGAGATCTTGAGCATATGAGGATTACCTAGCAGCCCAGTGTTATTGCTCCTGAGATTCCAGAGGGCTTTGACAGCTCGCCTGGCCACCCACTCAAACGTGGAATCGCCAAGCAGTCTGCTGAGAATACCAAACTCCACCAAGAGGGAGCCAGCTCCAGCAGTACAAGTTTCATTATTGCTGTTTGGAGGTACTCCTTTCTTCAGATTGACCTACGAGGCAGGAAAAGCAAGTATTAATTGCAAGAACACAACCTGCTTATAAATTAGCTCACACAGTTTTGTTCTAATCTGCAGTATTACCTTTATTACAAAGCCTTTATTAGTGTTTGTAATGCAGGATGTGCTATCCATGCACAGTTGGAAAGCCAATGGATTGCTTCTTAGTCAAAAAGCTCTCCTGAAAGAATTCTTGAAATTCTTCCAAATTTATATCAAAGGGTGGGGAACCCAAATTTTGCTATCTTCATATTTCTTAACCCTTCCAAATTTCAATCCACTTTTTCCACATTTCTGTTAATCATTTAGTTTCTTCCAGACATGATGCAACTACTTTTTCCTCTAATTTAGTTCACTTGAATTCAAGACTTTCAACTGAAGACAAGTTATACCACCCTCAGCTCCTTTATCACACTCTGAACAAAGGTGAGAGTTTGCATTTCTTCAGCCTGACAAATGTGAAGGGAAAAAAAGATAGTGCAGCTATCCCCAGAAAATAAAAGTAGTGAGGCAAGTGCTAAGTAGTTCAACACCTGAGAGTTCTTCCACTAGAACTTAAGTTCTTCTGTTTAAAACCGGAGGCAGTGACACTGTATTCAAGGAAATTACAAATCCCAAGATGATGCAGTATGACAAGTATTATAGACTAACTTTATTCTAAATAGTAACTTCCTAACTGTTATGTTATTCACCTTTATATTTCTTGTTAACCTTCTTAATGACAGCTCTATTTACTACCATTTGATATAAGAAGGGGAGGAAGACGAGAGAAGGACATGTTCCAGTCAAACTGCATGAAAATTGGTTACTATTAACCACATAAAACAGTGCACAAAGTAAAAGGGCAGCTTAAAGAAAAGATTCACTACAGCAACTGGAGTTGCAGAACAGTCAAATAACCAGCTTTGGATTCTGTTTCCACTGCTTTGATGCACATGGTGCTCACTTACCCGAGGATAAGGAATTCCAGTTTTGGTGTTCTCAAAAGCTGGTAGTAGTCTCACCGCTAGGTCATGAGCCATATGCAACAGTTCATTGTCATAATCCTTAATGGTCATATCACCAAAAGGCTGTTTGCTGTCTGTAATTATTATGTGGGCAGAAAGCAGGCTTCCCAAAACCCTATTAGAAAATGAAGAAACCCTCAATTTTTTTTAAATATGATCTAAAGCTAGTTCTTCACCTAAATTCTTACCAATATCACCTTTAATAGGAATATTACTTTGTTCTTCTTTCTAGATATACTTTTTTATTTATTCACCCCAGAAACAGATCTTGTTTTCACCACCATGAGTGAAAGTCTAGCCATCACATTCACCTGTCATCCACAGTAATCCCTAGATCCTATTCTGCAGGATTTATCCTAACCCAGAAGTTTCTTACAACATATCAAGCATATTTATGAGTGAATACAACCTTCCCCCGTTGTTTTTTTGCTGCTGCAAATGGCAACAGAGCTGTTAAATAAACCTAATGTTCCACCAAAAGAAAGCCTACAGTTCAGCAGTACTTGAATAAACCATTTCAACCAGAGACTCAGAAAATCAGAGTACATTAAACTGATCTCCAAGGCAGACAGGCTGTTTTTCCACCTACAGTGATTTTCCCCATAAAAATTTTAAAAACAAAGTAAGCAGAAGGTCCATGGAAAATAATAGAAACAGGTTAAATCTGTAATCAAGATTGATTGTTACATGCAAATGCAAGCATCTACTACAAAAACTAAAGGTCTAAGAGCCAAAGAGGTTAAGATATTTAATCTTGTTCCTGTTTTAAAGACAGGAATTTATGACTACATACCTGATTGTTGCCTCAAAAACTTGGACTGTTGAGTCTTTGTCAAATGAAACAGTGTCAATCACCAATTTCACTGCTTTCTGGAATTCTGAGGAATTTCCCATTACCTTTTACACAAAAAAGACAATTTTGTCTAATTATTGTTTCAGAAGGGGGAAGTAAAAGAACAATAATTTTAAATTTGCCATATTAGCTACCTACAGAATGGAGAACTTCGAGTTCTTGCTAACAGCCTTCCCAAATTACCTATCTTACAGATATGCGGAAGTACACTAAAAAAGGGAAACCCACAAAGATGAATTTTTGTCCTTTGGACTAACCTATGCACTCATGTACTCCTCCCACCCCCAAAATCACTGTGGGCAATCTCGCTGAACAAGAGCCTAAAACCTCTTAAGATCTTGTGCATTGAGTGTTCTGTCAACTACTTTGCTATGCACAGAATTCAACAAGTTCTGCTAAGAGAAAAAAGAAATAAAGGAAAAAAAAAAAAGAAAAAGACACACACAACCTGAGAGACAAAAGAACAATGCAGCCTGGTTTGACATTTATTTGACCAGGGGAACCTGACCCTTCAGGTTTTTGATTCAGCACTGCATGCTCTGTTCAGCAGTTTCCTCGCTTTGGTTTTGTTTGGATATTACCCTACTGAATGATTTTGCCTAAATCCAGAGAGAAGCAAATTTAGCTCCAGTTTCAAGAAAAAGGGAACGAAGAAGGAATTTTTTTAAGTTTATTGTATGGCTGAGCATATACAGAGTCCGCCTATTTTTCCTAATACCCAGATTTAATAGGAAAGAGTAATGGTCACATATTTGATCTAAGAACAAGGAAGAGCAAAGCAGGCTTACTCCCTGCCTGGAGACAATGGCAGTTGCTTTACCAACACAAAATCAACCAAACAGCTCAAATTCCCAATTACTGTTTCTGTTCAAATTGCTTTTATCTGACTTCCTGGTTTAAGTTCTGTACATTACTGCCCTGTTCAGTTAAACAGCTGTGGCTTTTACCACAGAGTTACAATTCCATTTCAGCAAAGGGAAGTATTTTATAATTTGAAAAATATATATAATCTTTGTACACCCCACCACTTCACGACAATTTTAACTATTCGCAAGCTCATCTTGCCTTTCTTCATGTTAAAGAATCTCTACTACTGTCAGAGAATCTACCCTATGCATAAGAAAGTTTC